TGCACCAGCAGTCTGAATAATAGAGACTTAGCTGGGCAAACAGAGAAAGTGGTTTCCAAAGAACGGGAATTACTACAGAAGTGGAAAAGAATACCAGGAACCTCCAGCTTTAGTTCCAATATGTAAAGAGCCTGAGAGTCATTATTCCAATCCTCACAAGAAAAAAAAAAAAAAAAAAAAGCTTGGCCAGGTGCGTTGGTTCATGCCTATAATCCCAGCACTTTGGGAGGCCAACATGATGAAACCCCGTCTCTACTAAAAAGACAAAAAATTAGCTGGGCACTGTGGTCCCAGCTACTTGGGAGGTTGAGACAGGAGAATCACTTGAACCTGGGAGGCGAAGGTTGCAGTGAGCTGAGATTGCACCACTGCACTCCAGCCTGGGTGACAGAGCAAGGTTCCATCTCAAAAAGAAAAGAAGAAAAGGAAAGTAACAGCTGAACCCATTAAAAATCAATGATGTTCTTAAGTCTCAACAGATAATTAAAGTCAGGGAAAAAATTGCCACCCCGAAATCTAGAGACAAGTAAATACAGAGAATAACAGCCTAAATCTACTTACCTGAAGTAGAAGTTGCATGAATCAGGCTGATGCAGTGGCTCACCCCTGTAATGCCAGTACTTTGGGAGGCCGAGGCAGGTGGATCACTCGAGGTCAGGAGTTCGAGACCAGCCTGCCCAACATGGTGAACCCTGTCTTTGTATTTTTGTACAAAAATTAGCCTGTCATGGTGGTGGGTGTCTGTAATCCCAGCTACTTGGGAGGCTGAGACAGGAGGATCCCTTGAACCCAAGAGACAGTGGCTGTAGTAAGCCAAGATCGCACCCCTGTACTCTAGCCTGGGCGACAGAGTGAGAGACTCAGTCACAAAAAATAAAAATAAAAAATTTTTTTTAAAAAAGTTGTTGCATGAGACACCTACTAGTAGGAACACTTAAACAGTAGTTCTGACAAATTGCCAGAGGCTGAGTATGGACTAGTTTGAGAGAGAGAAACTCCTAGCACCATAGACTTAGGGAAACCCCATCCCACCCCACTTTCTTGGAATTTACCTCCAAAAACCAAATCGAGTTCCCATAGTAGAAAGCAAAGGAAAAGATCCTTTGGTTTTCTGGCAGAGAGAGTGTGTTTAAGAACCATTCTGAAATAGTTAAGAGCATCCCCCATAACAAAGGCCTACTCTCCATTGGAAAAGATTTGAAAGCAGAATGCTTTCTTGAAGTAAGGACAAAGAACGGAAGATTCTTTCACTTCTGGTAACAGAATGAAGGAGGTATATTCTTGTACGGTCATGTGGTTATCACTGAAACTGTTTTGGGGACATCAAAATGTCAATAATGGCAATCTGTTGGCCTTAATGGTATAATGCCTGAGAGACAGGGACAGCTATTCCATACCCAGAGTAGATGTCAACTTTCGTTAGTAAGTACAGGCAGAGGCTCTTTTTAGGTAACAGGAGTACAAAGTCCACTTGCTACACAAAGTTGGTCTTTGTTCCCAAGGAGCTCATATGACTTAGGCTACCCTCATGTCACCATTTGTACACAATACATTCTTAATTTTCAGTGATTCACACATTCTTAATTTTCTCCAGGGTTACTGTGAATTTTTACCCAATGACATAAAGCTGGCTCATGTGAGTAATTTAAATTGGCTGGCCTTATCACACTACATTGATGTTTCCCAAATAAGTCATGGTTTAAGCTTTGTCTCTGTTTCTCTCCCAAATCTACTCTTAATGAGATTTGTGCCCTCCTTCTGTCTTATAATTGTACAAAGCTTCAAACAGAATTTCCTCTTATAGTCCAATCTTTTCTCCCCCAAAGTATACTACATTTGATGTTATCTATAATCAATCAAGGCTCAAGAATCAAAATAATTATGTACTTGTGTCACTGTTTTATAATAGACTAGTCAATATGCAATGTGCATAGTTTATCATCTGGGCTGATTTTCTCACTTCTTTTGCCTTGTATATCCATTGATTCCTGACTGTGGTGTTAAAATTTGATAAGAAATGATTTTGTTTTTCAACATAAGCTTTCAACTTAAAGGTTCATCATTAGCATGGTCAACATAAGCTAGACTCCAACTTTAATATTACTGTTAGAAACAAATGCCTATTCCTCACTGCCAAAAAGAAGAACCAGCACTCAGACAAAATAACTTTTCTTAGCAAGGCAATTTTACTTTCTGCAGAAACGGTGCTTCTCAGAAGTCTGATTGTCATGAGAGCACATTGAACAAGACGAAAAGCAAAAGTTTTGATTCCTGATGCATTGGGTCCTTACTGCTGTGTCCTATCTCCATTGGCTGGAGCTGAACAGCACAATCTAGACCGATCTTGATTGGTTAAAAACTTAAAACTTTCCTAAATAGGTTAACATGTGATGGAGAACAAAGAAAGGAAGAAGGTTGTTTATGAGAAACTAAGAGAATAATAACATTCACAAATAAGGAAGAGGGATAGGCTGTAAGCTGGGAAATGCCTGAGCATGTTCAGATGTCTCAGCAGGCTATAGGCCAGAACAAATAACTTGGTTAAAGTACAAGGACATAGAATATTCTTATTCCATTACTAGATTTAATAGCTACATGGGGCTTAACAAGGAGTTGTTAGCAAAAAGCAAGGAAACTTGAAGGAAATTTGTTGTTGTTGTTTTTTAAAGAAGCTATTATTTCTAACAGTTATTATTTATTCTTTAACAAAAGGGAAATTTTGAAGAGGAACTTTTTACTTTTCACTTTAACGTATATCATTTATGGGCAATACAATTATAGGAGTATTCATTCCTTCATCAGGCCTGAGATTACATTTTGAGAATTATTCATTACTTTGACTATTTTTGTTTGTTTTGTTTTTGAGATGGAGTCTCACTCTGTTGCTCAGGCTGGAGTGCAGTGGTGCGATCTCAGCTCACAGTAAACTTTGCCTCCTGGGTTCAAGTGATTCTCCTGCTGCCTCAGCCTCCTGAGTAGCTGAGATTACAGGTAGATGCCACCACACCTGGCTAATTTTAATAGAGACAAGGTTTCACCATATTGGCCAGGCTGGTCTTGAACTCCTTACCTCAGGTGATGCACCTGCCTCAGCCTCCCAAAGTGCTGGGATTACAGGTGTGAGCCACTGCACCCAGCATCCTTTGACTATCTTATATATAATATTTACACTCCAAGTGGTTCTCTGACCTGTTTTGAAATGCCCATAGTTGATCCAAACTAATAGAGAATAATCTTTATTATATAGTGATTGACAGATAAGGGCTCAAATATTCAGTGGCCTTAGATACCAAAAAGTATATTTCTTCAAGACTACATATGCTCATTAGCAGATCACAAAGTTCAAAGTCCCTTTTGTGCTGCTGCCTCATAGCCATTGATACAAATTCCAATTATCACCTTCCATAAGTTTTTGACATATAAGTACCAGGGGGTTGGATTTATTCCAGGATCTTAAAGGCAGAGCCACCTGAACACCGTGCTGCAGCATGAGGAGTGCTCCTGCTGCTCTGGAGGCCACTGAAACTGAGCATGTTTCTTTGTTCCAGCAAGTACTTAGTTTGGCTTTCATTATTGTCTAAGCTCATTCACTGGATATTTTGGGTTCTCCAAGTGAATTTACTTATAAATATCACAATCAAGATGTTAAGAAAGTCCCTCTCCCCTCCAAAATCTTTCTTTTTAAGTTAGGATCAAACTTAAATGCCAGTTTTAGAAAGCACTCACTTGTTGGGAAGTATTAGGACAACTATACCACATGCCTAGAACTCTGGTGCCAAAAAATTTTCTCGTAAGTTTACTTGTAAAGTGTTTACTCTAAGGTAGAAGAGAGCTGGGCTAACTCTTTTGCCTAGAACTTACTGTATGGGAAAATAAATGGGAAGGGGTTAAGTCCTTGGGCAGATCTCTTCTCTGAACTTCCTCCAGCCCCAAGGGCCCGAGTCTGCCTGCTCCACCTCCTTTTATATCTCTTCCAGTTGAAATGGAGACAGGATCAGGACTTTGCATCCAGCCTCTGGGCTTCCACAGATATGATCTCCCAAGTATTATAAAACTGTGCCTTAGAACAAATTAATACTGAGTGTTTACTATTACCTCCACTACTTCATCTTGCCACAGACACCCAAGCTGAGGCTTGATAACAAATCAGTGTTTCCTCCAACCCTGAAGGAGCTTCAAGTGCCCAATAGACTGAGGACCAACGGCAGGGGTCAGAGTAGGCAGAATCATTCTCTGGCCATGAGCCCTTCCTATGATCTTGCAAATTTCTACACTTCTAGGTATGCTGAGATCTTCTTTTCTCTGGCATTACCTTCTATAAAAATGCCTCAGAACAGCTAGGAAAGGGTAGGTTATTGAAGAGGTAAAGATATGTGCCTTGAAACCTCTGTATCCCAAGTCCATAGGCTTTTACACTAGGGCTCTCTCAGGGACAGAAATTTCATTCTAGGATCTACTCTAGGGTTGTCCAATAGAAATACAATGTAAGCCACATATGTAATTTTAAAGTTTCTACTACCCACCTTAAATAAAATGAACCGGGTAAAATGAATTGAGGAAGGAGACTCAAACATCTAGGATCACCTCCCTCTTGACTTCCACACTGCATTTCAGTAGAAGAAAAGGAAGAAAAGGCGACCTCCTAAGTCGCCTTCCTGTAGATAGCAGGCATAGTATGGGGGAATCTCTCCAGAAGGCATAGTTTTTATTTAAACAAGATCAAATTCCCACCCCACTCCTGCATCGACCAAGACCCTTTCACCTGTAATTTCTAAAACTGTAAACCCAAGACCCTTTCACCTGTAATTTCTAAAACTGTAAACCCAAGACCCTTTCATGTGTAATATCTAGAATTGTAAGCCTATATACAGGCAGAGCTTCTCTTTGTTAAAAGAGCTTGGCTATTGGACAAACAGGTTGCCTCACTCCTGGCCAAAATAGAACACCTCTTCCTAGTTTGGTGTCCAAGAGGTCTGGTTCTTGAGGCCGTTCCTGCTTCAGAATAACATATTTTAATCCAATAGATCTAAAATATTATCATTGTAATACACAAAGAAAAAGTTACCAGTGAGACATTTTACATCATATTTTGAAGGAGGTATTTAAAATCTGGCGTGAATTTTATACTGTGAGCACAGCTCAGTTCCGACTAGTCATATGTGAAGTCCTCCATAGGCATTGGTGGCTCTTGGACACCATATGGGACAGCCAGTACCATGCTCCTCCCTGATGTTTGTTCCTACTTCACATGTACCTCATAATTTCTTTCATACATGGCTCAAGAAACATACTGCACCTCCCTACCAAAGTCACAGCAGCTCACTCACCAGCTGTCTGTTCCTAAGCACAGAGTGTGGAAAAGCTGGAGGAAATCATCCTCTTCCGGTAAGTGCTTTATATTAATCATATTTTCTCTTTATTTTCTTTCTATTCTGAGAGAAAAATAAGCATTGGATGATTTTTCTCTCCCCACTATCTTTTTATTATTATTTCAATTAATTTGAAAGATATATTTCTTTGTTATTCTATTGCTACTTTTAAATGTAAAGAGAAAGGCTGAAGGTTGCAGTGAAGACTGTAGTAAAGATGAGTTACAATCGCTTCAATCTGAGTTGGAAGCTACCCAAATAACAATTATAATGTTTTGGTTTTAGAGCTCAATCCTACATATATGTATACAAAAACATGGTATTTTATTTGCTTATTACTGAATTTTATAGAACCTGGCAAAGGTATTACAAGAATGTAAAAATACAGGCCAATTTCTTTCATTAACATAGATGAAAACAAAATCTAAACAATATATTAGCAAAATAAATCCAGTATTGCATACAACAAATAATGATGTATGTCAGCAATTTGTGGCAGATACAACAAATTGAAATAAATCAGTGTACTAAGCCACATTAACAGAATAAAAATGATAAACAATTATCTCAATAATTTACAGAAAAGACATTGGTTGAATACAATTTTTCATTTTATACAAAAACCAGTAGCAAATTAACAGATCGGAACTTCCGAACTTTGATCCCCTGCATTAACCAAAAAAAACCTGCATCAAATATTATGCTTAACACTATGCAAAATGCTGGAAGCGCCCGCTATCCACCTGAAGACCTGTCATCAGTCAAAGATGTTTACTCTCACCACTTAGGTGCATCCTAGTATTGAGCAAATGTTTAAAACAAAAGAATTGGTGGGGCACAGTGGCTCAGGCCTGTAATCCCAGCACTTTGGGAGGCTGAGGTGGGTGGATCACTTGCGGTCAGGAGTTCTATATCAGCCTGGCCAACACGGTGAAACCCCATCTCTACAGAGATATAAAAATTAGTTGGGTGTGATGGTGGGTGCCTGTAATCCCAGCTACCTGGGATGCTGAGGCAGGAGGTTCGCTTGAACCCAGGAGGCAGCAGTTGCAATGAGTCAAGATCTTGCTGCTGCACTCCATCGTGGGGAACAGAGCAAGACGCTACCTCAAAAAACAAAACAAAACAACAAAAGAATTGAGAACACAGAAAATCAGATCAGAAGAGAGAACCGCATGCTGATTAGCCTCAGGGTACTTATCAGAAGTGGGTGAGAACAGAAGAATATTCAAGAGTTTGGATGACGCAGGGTCATAGGAATCACACAGTTGCAAGGATTAAAATATGGACAAAGAGTGGTGGGAAAGTAATATTTAGAGAAAGTGTAGATGGGGAAGCCATTGTTTGTGACATTATAAAAGGAGACAGTGCCAGCCTCATAATCTAAAAAAACCCCAACACGGCGAGGGGGCACTGTCATGGAGAGGAGCAGGGAAGGGGAAGAATCCTCATAGGCCCTATATTCATGTTTATGCTGTAACCCAATGACCCAGTATCCACTCTGAGGCTGGTATCTGGAATAAGCAGTGTGATTTTTAGCATACTGGTTGAAAGAGAATGCAGGTCTCACTGAATTGCTGCATACACCCAGGATCCAGGCAGTCTTCTTAGCCACATCTACCTCCCAGTAATGCTTTCCAGAGGAGAAGTGCTGGGAGCCCAGGACACTACAGTCATGATGCTTTTCCAGACAGGAAGGTCCAGATACTTTAGCTCCCACAAACCTCACCTGTCTAAGGTTTTTAGCCAGGACAAGATTTAAATTAGCTGTGTGCGGATTCAGAGTCACGTCCACTGTAGGAAAAGGTACAACATCAGCTGATGAGAATGGGGACATGGGTCTCATTATGCTGAGAAGAGGAAACACAGGAAGTGGTTGGAGGAACTGGAACTGTGGTAGGGATGGGGAAGGCATCAACACCTAGGACCTGGGTGGATATGCCTGGGGAGGAGCGTGTGAAAGGAGATCAGAATGTGCCAGCCCACAGCAAGAGGCCATGGCTTCTACTTACCCCAGTAGCTTTGGACATCTGTCAGCTCTGTAATGATAAAAAGAGTTAATAATGTTGAATAGGACCAATTGTCTCATGTCTGGTATCCCTCTCCTTACTAAATTGAGGGGAATGGTGAGGAACGCTGTGAGGATGTCCTTGGCCATTTTATCTCCCCTTAAATACAAACAACATCTTCTTCAGCACACTATATCTCTCCCTCTGGGACCTCCCTCTTTGCTACTCTGCTCAAATACCGACTATATCCTCTATGCTGTTTATTTCTTCCCACGACACTAATTCCACATCCAAACTCTTTCCCCTGAATCTCCTCACCTCTAAACACTCGCAGCATCTTTTTCAGATCTGGGGCTCGAAACATACTTCTCAGCCTTGTAGGGAGAGCTTCTGGCTTCCTCAGGGTCCAGAACTCACTCCTAGAAAGGACAGGACTTCTGAATTCCCACACTGCTGACTGTGTGGGACCACAGCACCTGTCCACCCCTGTTTCTCTTACCTCCCAAGCCTACAGATGAACTTCAATCCTCCTTTTGGAAGAAACTTAGCGTCATTCTACAAACAGCCCTGGCACTGGAGCCAGGAGACCTAGACTGGAAACTATCATCTCCCCATCTACATAAACTTTTTTAAGATTTAACTTCATAAAGCCTCCTTTTGTTTTTCTGTTGTTGTTTTTAGAAAATAAAATAATTTTCCTTTCTCTATGTTCTAGAGACGTTATGCAATTCAGTAAAATAATAGCTGGGAAATCTTTTGCTACCTCTAAAAAAAGATATAAAATATTTAAAATCAGAGGGGCTGAAGATGTCTGCGTTGACAGGCAGAACAGCAGGGGCCTGTTGCTCGGGCTCTGAGAGTGAAGAGCTTCATTCAGAAGGTCTGTGGGCTTAGGCCTTAGGATTTCTCAAAAAACCTTCAAAACAGCATTTTAGAATTTGCTATCTCTGAGAATGTTATGCTGCCAGCTGGAGAAAAGATGTCCTCATCTCCAAATGGAGAGTGCAGATTTCAGAAGGGACAACAGGCTTCATATTTCATGTGTCTGTGAGGAGCATGAAGGTACCAAGTGAGCAAGAGACTTGAGATGTCATCTTGTCGGATGAGACTCTGGAGTATGTGATAGAGAACATGTTTGCTTCCTGGGCTAAATTATTATTTTCAAGAGCTGGGGTTTATGTTTTTACTGGAATTGAGACAAAAGAAAATCTACTAGGGAGCAAGGGCTGGGAGAAAGAAAAACTTAAGGCAAATGTCCCAAGAGCAAATTCTTAAACCTTGAGAAATAATGCAGATGGGAATGTGCCTCTGATAAAATTCACGGGCAGGAGGTTGCAGTGAGCCGAGATTGCACCACTGTACTCCAGCCCAGACTCTGTCTCAAAAAAATAAAAAATAAACAATTTATGGGCAAAGAAAATTCCTGTATATTTTGAGTAACTGTAAACTTAAGAATCAGGGATGAAAGCATGCACAGAGGTTTATGGAACAGTACACTTAATGGGGTGCTTGGAGAGTCACTGATATAGCAACTCTTGACTCTAACAGTACTGTCCCCAAGTGGTGACCTCCCATCACCCACATTTTCCTATCATAGAAGCCAGTTCATTCCCTTTATTTGAGGATGCCAAAACTCTCATGTGATGCACAATTCAAGACCACAGTCTTGAATCTTCCCTACTCTGATTTTTTTTCACTTTCCCACTGATCATGGTTAAAGGAATCATTTTTCAATCCAAGGGCACTACCTCATGTTCTCCTACACGTACCTTTCTGTGACATCTCTCGCATCCTAGGAGGAAAAAGACAGGTTAAGTCAAGGAGTAACAGGTCATGCCCTTATTCACATTCCTCCTTCCATTTCCACCACCCCCTGAAATGACAGAAATAAAGATAATCCTATTGTGGAGGCCACAAAGTAGAGATAAAAGCTCAGGGCAGACTGTCCCTAAGAACCCATGTGAAGACACCAAAAAATACCTCAATTAATTCATCGGGGTCTTGATTTTTACAACACTGCGTGTGTGCATATATGTGTGTAATGTTATGTACGTATAGCACGTATTATTTGTCAGGCATTGTGCCCGGCCCTAGAGAACCTCATAAGATGAAGTCATAATTTCCATCCTTGAGAAGCTTACATTCTGTTCTGCTTGCTGAAGATAAAGCTCATGGGTTTTAAATACGGTTGTTTCTCAAACTTCACCTTCTCTAACCCTCTACCCTACCTTTGCTGACTTCATCCATTTCTTTCATTTTAACACATACATGATGATTCTCAAATCTGTACTTCTGCTCAGCTCTCTTTTCTTATGATTTTGATTAATATCTAGACCAGCAAATGAATCACAGGCACCTCAAATGCAAGATGTTTAAAAGAAAAATCATTCCTGAAACTCTTGTCTCCCTTCTATCCTACTGAATCATACTAGTAACACTTAGTCACCAAATTTAAATAAAATAGGTAGTAACTACCACATATGTACCTTGGCATCATATCTTTGCCCAAGTCAGTCCACTTCACACCCTTAATCTCATTTAGCCACCAGCTGTTCACCTTTACCACTGCCACTGCCAGTCTCATTTCAATAGAATTGGCCTATTCCCTTCCATTTAGTCCTTTTATCTCCTGCTCCATACATCTCAATGACCCCAAAGAAAAGCCTAATTTTGGTCCATATAACACAGGATTAACTATTTTATCTGTAGTAGGGCTGTATATAGTGGCATTTCATAGAGACACAACTCAAACTGGCTTGAATATAGAGCTTGGCAAAGGTGCTGTGTGCGTCAATCTGCAGTAATCACCCAGGACTGTATCAGTCAATGCTGTGTGTGTCAATCTGCAGTAATCACCCAGGACTGTATCAGTCTATGCTGTGTCGGTCAATCTGCGGTAATCATCCAGGACTGTATCAATCTATGCTGTGTGTGTCAATCTGCAGTAATCACCCAGGACTGTATCAATCTATGCTGTGTCTGTCAATCTGCGATAATCATCCAGCACTGTATCAATCTATGCTGTGTCTGTCAATCTGCAGTAATCACCCAGGACTGTATCAGTCAATGCTGTGTGTGTCAATCTGCGGTAATCACCCAGGACTGTATCAGTCTATGCTCTATGTGTCAATCTGCAGTAATCACCCAGGACTGTATCAGTCTATGCTGTGTGTGTCAATCTGCAGTAATCACCCAGGACTGTATCAGTCTATGCTGTGTGTGTCAATCTGCAGTAATCACCCAGGACTGTATCAGTCTATGCTGTGTCTGTCAATCTGCAGTAATCACCCAGGACTGTATCAGTCTATGCTGTGTGTGTCAATCTGCGGTAATCACCCAGGACTGTATCAGTCAATGCTGTGTGTGTCAATCTGCAGTAATCACCCAGGACTGTATCAGTCAATGCTGTGTGTGTCAATCTGCAGTAATCACCCAGGACTGTATCAGTCTATGCTGTGTGTGTCAATCTGCAGTAATCACCCAGGACTGTATCAGTCTATGCTGTGTCTGTCAATCTGCAGTAATCACCCAGGACTGTATCAGTCAATGCTGTGTGTGTCACTCTGCAGTAATCACCCAGGACTGTATCAGTCTATGCTCTATGTGTCAATCTGCAGTAATCACCCAGGACTGTATCAGTCTATGCTGTGTCGGTCAATCTGCAGTAATCACCCAGGACTGTATCAGTCTATGCTGTGTGTGTCAATCTGCAGTAATCACCCAGGACTGTATCAGTCAATGCTGTGTGTGTCAATCTGCGGTAATCACCCAGGACTGTATCAGTCCATGCTGTGTGTGTCAATCTGCGGTAATCACCCAGGACTGTATCAGTCTATGCTGTGTCTGTCAATCTGCAGTAATCACCCAGGACTGTATCAATCTATGCTGTGTGTGTCAATCTGCAGTAATCATCTGGGACTGTATCAGTCTAACATTATGGCTATACTGAGGAACTGAAATGAGGAAATCAATGTGTCATTTCATGGTAACTTCTCTTATTTTGGCTTTATGTTAGTGTCCATATGTTGAAGCTTTTATCTTGGCTATAAAAGCTTAATGGGCAACAAGATACACAGATAAGGAAAAGAGAAGGAAGAATGTCTGTGATGGGAAAATTCTAGGAAATTTATTGTTAGAAAAGACTCAAGTTTAAATGCCTATTGGGCAGTCATACTAATGAATGTGGAAGTATCTAAACTAGCAACACGAATTGATGATTCATTTGCATTAATTTTTTTTTTTTTTTAATTGAGACAGAGTCTCACTCTGTCACCCAGGATGAAGTGCAGTGGGGTGATCTCAGCTCACTACAACCTCTGCCTCCCGGGTTCAAGAGATTCTTCTGCCTCAATCTCCTGAGTAGCTGGGATTACAGGCATACATGACCATGCCTGGCTAATTATTTTTGTATTTTTAGTAGAGACAGGGTTTCACAGTGTTGGCCAGAGTGGTCTTGATCTTCTGACTTTGTGATCCACCTGATCCGGCCTCCCAAAATGCTGGGATTACAGGGATGAGCCACTGCACCCAGCCTAAAAAATATTCACAGTTTGAGGAGTGTTGAGGAGCCAGAACAAAAGAGTGAAGGAGAAAAGTATCAGGGTAAAATATCAATGAGGAGGACAAAAAGGCAAGAATGAAATGAAGATGCAAAGCAGGAAGCAGTGAATGAGAAAAAGCTCTAATAGGTAGAAAGTATCTACCATATGGCTCTAATACTAGGGCCCAAGAATATGTGAATAAATAATTATTCCATCAACAAAGAAAGAGCAAGAGGAAAGCATAAGGGCAAAACAAACAAACAAACAAACAAACAAAGAATATCTTACACTCTGGAGGTTACAGAATCTCACAAGGTACATCATGCCTCAAATTCACAGCCATGCTAGCCATTCTATGCAGAAAACAGCTGCTAGAACTTCAACCTCAGTTCAAGTTCCTCCATCCAATCTCTCTGGGCTTGATACCTTGTAATCTTCAACCTACATACATACAGACCAGAGCCCAGATCTCAAACACTTGCTCAAATATCTATTACTACAGTACCTTAAATGATTTCACTCTATAAAGAGAGTGAAAACAAAATAGGGCTGGTAATACATTATGTCTAAGAATTTAGCTTAGCGTAAATTTGCCTGTAACTAAGCTGAGTAAGAAGCACTTGACAAATTCCCAATACAGCATCAGAGACAAGAGGTGCCTAAAAAAACAGTGGTTCTCAGTTGGGAGAGCACTGTGTTCTCCCTGGAGCTATCATGGCAGTGTCTGAAGAAATCTGGGGCTGTCATATCTGAGGTGGTGCTGCTGACATCTAGTGGGCAGATGCCAGAGATGCTGCTAAGAGGAGACTGCCTGGCAGCAAAGAATTATCCAGCCAGAAATGTAAATTGTGCCAAGACTCAGAAAGAAAAAACATAAAGAACATCACTGGATGCAACAGATCTTCTCCACAGCATCAAATAAACTTTCAGACCACCCTTTATAAATAAAAATGGGAGGCCGGTGTGGTGGCTCATGCCTGTAATCCCAGCACTTTAGGAGGCTGAGGCGAGTAGATCAGTTAAGGTCAGAAGTTCAAGACCAGCCTGGACAACATGGTGAAACACTCTCTCTACTAAAAATACAAAAATTAGCTGGGCATGGTGGCAGGTGGCTGTAATCCCGGCTACTTGGGAGGCTGAGGCAAGAGAATAGCTTGAACTCAGGAGGTAGAGGTTGCAGTGAGCTGAGATTGTGTCATTGCACTCCAGCAAACAAGACTCCATCTTAAAAAAAAAGGAGGGGGGTTTTCCCTTGCATTTGTACTCTGAATTATCTTATGCTTTGCTCTATACCTCTAAATAGTTTAATAGGAAATAGGCACTATCGTGCCAAAGGAATGCTTTTTCTTGTCCCTGTAGTGATGGTAGTCTGATGCCCCAGAAAGGAAGAAAAGTTAGTTTCTCTTTTCCTTGAGTCTCTGATCTGGGCTCCTTCACAAGCCTTACCTGCAGCAGCTCCATTGTTGACCCCTGACATCGACGCTCCAGATCGGAGATGAGCTCTCTCAGCGACTGGCTCTGGTGGACCAGGTCATTCTCAGCCTCTTCTATAATACGCAGCCCCTTCTTCTCTTCCTCCTCCAGCTTTTTCAGCTCCCGCTGCTCCGCTCTGTCTAGGATGTTTCGCAGCTGATTAAACTCTGTCTGGATCCGGTACCTCTCAGGCTCCATCTGATTCTTCAGGAATAGGGAAGAAAAAGAGGCTGCTAGTCTGTTACACTGAGGGTCTCCCCTATAAAAAGTGGGGGAATTGCACTCAAGTCTGCTTTTCTGGGCCAGGCTCTCTGAGAGAGGGAGGGTAAATGCTGCAGGGAAAAGCCTATGTAGGCTGCTTTTTCCTTCTTTTCTCCCTTCAGCTCTGCCCAGACCATTACCCCCAGGATGCTTTATCTAGGCCTTTTAGATATCAACTGTGATTCCTGGGTGAGGTTTAGATTCCAGGAAGCCTCCCTCACCAATTTAGAGTACTGAGGAAGAAATTACCAGCCTGTGACTAACCTGTCATTCCCAGGAAGCCAAAGAGACTGAAACTGTACAGCAAGATCCAGAATTATGAATCGGGCAACCCCTGACCACGGGTCCTCTGCTATGTGATTGTCTCGGTTCAGTTTTGATGTTTGCTATTTAGCTCCCCTCTCCTCCCCGTTTGGAAGGAATGTAGTGGAAGAACAGGCAAAGGAAAGCTCTTCTAGTCATGGTATCAGAGGACAGGCAGGACCAGGACTCCTTTGCCTTCAGCCCCTATGACCTGCCCTGATTCCTGCTCCAGGACATCCTCAGAAAAAGTCCCCCTTGCCTTCCAGGTCGTCCTCTTCTCTCTGATAAAAGCTGTTAGCTTCTCAGCTTCTTGCTGCTCTTGCTTCAGCTTCTTTAGAGACTCCTGAAACTTCTCCTGGAATAAACAAATCACGTTAAGCAGGATCAAGCCTTTAGTTGACTCGGTACCCCGACATGGAATGAATAGGACAGAGATTCTGCTAACCTCAAAAGAAGCCTTTCCCAACCTAGGACGAAAACTTGAGAGAAGGCCAACATATCTTTTATATACAGCGGATAAAAACCAACAGGAATAGATTGATTCTCCATCCTCCTTGGGAAGGTGACTGACCACAAAACACCTGTGGCTCATGCCTGAAATCCCAGCACTTTGGGAGACCGAGGCAGGTAGATCGCCTGAGCTCAGAAGTTTGAGACCAGCCTGGGCAACATGGCACAACCCCACCTCTGCTAAACACACACACATACAATTTGCTGGGCACAGTGGTGCACGCCTGTAGTCCCAGATACTCAGGAAGCTGGGCATGAGAACTGCTTGAACCTGGGAGGCAGAGGTTGCAGTGAGCCAAGATTGTGCCACTGCACTCCAGCCTGGGCGACAGAGTGAGACTCCGTCTCAAAATAAATACATAAGTAAAAAAATGCATTTACTTTCACTACCAACATATCTCCATACTCAATCAACCAAGTACCCCTTTTCCCCCCAGCAGTTCTGTCTACTCAATCTGGTATAGCAAGTAAAAGATAAAGTCTCTAGTCTCAATCAGGGAGGGAGCTTCCAGGTTCCTTCTCTAGGTAAATAAAAGCACTATAAAGAAATTAGATCAGAGCATGACAAAATGTTAAAATCTATCAAAGAATCTGTTTCTCCATCTCCCCCTCCACCCTGGGGTCCCACCTGGTACTCCTGGGCAACCTCCTCCATGAGGAACGTGTGGTGACCACGGTGCTCCTCAGACCGTTCACAAAGCCAACAAATGACCTTCCCATCATCCTTACAGAAGAGCTGCAGCTTTTCTCCATGGTCTGCACAAAGAACTGCTTTCAGCTGCTTCCCAGCGCCCAACACCACCTCTCTGAGCCTCCCCGCTATGTTGGCCAGGTGTCGATTAGGCCGCAGGTTCCCAAGCTGGTAGCTGGACTGACACACAGGGCACCTTCTTTCCCCTTCTTGACCAATCATTGATTCCCTGCTGTTCGGTGTGAGGCAGGCTTGGCAGAAGCTGTGGCCACAGTCTAAGCTCAGGGGTTCTGTCAGAAGCTCCAGGCAGATGGGGCAGGTCACCTCTTCCTGTATGTCCACCAGTACTGTTGAAGTCATTGTGGCTACTTTCCTGGCTCCTGCCTGCCCAGCCCTGATTTCTAAGATATCTCCTGCTTGTAGAATCCTAGGTAGATAAGCAAACAAAAAAGGGTCATGGTAAGAAAGCAGGGAGAAAGAAAGGGATACTGACTGCCCAGTCCTGGATAAAGAGGTCAGACACCTGGGGTAACATGGGCTTCTCATTCTAATTGCCAACACTTTCTTTATCCTAGCTCACATAAGACACCAATTTCTTCTCGTGTTAGAACAGTGGTTATGATTTCCTCTTGCTCCTATTGAATGAAGTGACAAACTGAAGTCCTGGGAAGGAGGGGCCTGTGTAAGTCACTGTCTGTGTGACCTTTTCTTTTTTCTTTTATTTGAGAAGGAGACTCACTCAGTCACCTAGGCTGGAATGCAGTGGTGTGATCTCAGCTCACTACAACCTCTGCCTCCAGAGTTCATGCAATTCTGCCTCAGCCTCCCGAGTAGCTGGAATTACAGGTGCATGTTACCACACCCAGCTAATTTTTGTATTTTTAGCAGAGACAGAGTTTCACCATGTTAGCCAGACTGGTCTTGAACTCCTGACCTTAAGTGATCCGCCTGCTTCGGCCTCTCAAAGTGCTGGGATTACAGGCATGAGCCACCACGCCTGGCCTGTGTGACCTTTTCTCACCCAAAACATCTCCTCAATGTTAAAAGTGCCCCAAACTACTGCTGCCTCAGAATTCTTGCCTTTGCTGTTCATGATGGAAGGATGACCCTTTACTCTGCTACCTGCATGACTTACTAGCTCCTTACCCATTCCCTTATCAGAAGGGTCTGCTCTGACTAGTCTGCTTAAAGCATAGCCACCATACAGTCACTCTCCACATACTTGCCTCGTTATTTTACTTCTTACACCACCTAACATAGATCTTTACTTCCTGAATCCTCTCAATAAAAGGTAAGCTCCATGAGATCAGAGACTGTTTTTGTTCATGGCTGCATCCTTGGCAGCTAGCACAGAGCCTGACATATAGGTCCTCGCCTTTTGGTGAATGAAAGGTCAGAACCCCCTCATCCTCAACAATGATTATCGGTGACTTTTCTCATGAGCTCTTTCACCTCTTTGCCATCACTCTGGCATTACTTCTGGTATCTGATCTCCAAAACTGTGCAAACACTTCCACCTCAGAACAGCCTTGCTCCACATAGAGTTCTCTCACCCAAGAGGCTCCCCGTCTCAGAAAAAAACAAAAAACAAAGAAACAGCAATGGCCACAATAAGGGGAGGTAATTTTTTGTTGTTGTTGAGACTGAGTCTTGCTATTGCCCAGGCTGGAGTGCAGTGGTGTGATCTTGGCTCACTGCAAACTCCGCATCCCAGGTTCAAGCGATTCTCATGCCTCAGCCTCCAGAGTAGCTGGGATTACAGACAAGTGCCACCACACTCAGCTAATGTTTGCATTTTAGGTAGAAACAGGGTTTCACCATGTTGGCCATGCTGGTCTCAAACTTCTGACTTCAAGTGATCCATCCACTTCGTCCTCCCAAAGTGCTGGGATTACATGCGTAAGCCACTGTGCCCAGCCTGGGGGGTGGTAATATTTTTACAACTAATGATTCTCTCACCAGTTGTGATTTAGAAATCACATTCTCCTGCTTTCTCTATCCTTCGTGGGACAACTCTGCATAAACAAGAGTATTCTCAATTCTTCAGTAAGAAGAAACATTAAGTGACTTTACAAAATCACGCATCTTGTTAAGTTGTAGAACTGGCATAACCTGACCTTTCCAGGGTCCCAGTTCAAAGCTTTGTCCTCAAACTCGTAACTTAAACCAAAGACAGTCAGTTGTAAAGGCTGTAAAGGTCAGGCACGGACCAAGTGTTTTGGAAGTATGGAAATAGGAGAGATCCTATTTGATGATGGGATTTTGCCAGGGCCTGTCCTAAACTTCAACAGGATCCCAAGGGGGCCCATACGTAAGGAGAGGTGGCCGGTAAGCAGTTGAGGCCTTATATCTTCATTGAGAAATACTATTTTTAGTCTCTATTCGTTTTTCTTGGAAGAGTTCTGTTGATAAATTACATTATCATTGCTCAAAATCACACCAAAAATACTCTTTATAAATTTTTAAAAACGGTTTCCAGCATTGAGTTATTTTCATTGGGGGACATTTGTTCTGCTTGCCTACCTGGAGTTGTGTTTGGGACACCAAAGAAAAGCCAGCTGACACTGCCTATTTGGAGTTGCTCTGGCCATGGTCCCATGTGTGACCCTGTTGTTCTGGACAGGCCACAGTAGGTAGGGAGCAGGTGGAATTCTCTAATTTGTCTTTGGCTGGCTTCCCAGCAAAAACAAATGTATATTGATGTAAAAAACATGGTCTGTGTGGGCCTAAACACAGGTCCTGTGAATTGTACCAATTTACCCCCATCTTGAGGGCCTGATAGATTTAAAAAGTATATCAAATTGCCTCCTAATAACAACACTCCCTCTAATAGAAAGGGCCTGAGAAAGTGTCTCAGATAAGGGCAAGAAAAGGTCATGGGACATAAGCATAAGCCTCCTAGTGGCCCAGCTGGAGGGTCTAGTGAGCTGAAAACAGGTCCTCGGTGCTGCCATCTAGTGTTCTATGGTGCTCCAGCAAGTACTGGCCTGGGTCTTCAGCATTGCCATGCTTAGTAGCAGCAATGCTCACAGCAAATATTTTCAGACCATTATGTACTCAGCAAAAATTTAATTATTTTGTATGCAATAACTCAATAACTCCATATAACAACATTATGAATGTCCCTTAAATCTCATTTCATAGTTGTGTAAACTGAGATTTAGATGAAGTGGTGACGCCGTTTTGAATGCAGATCCGCAGGCTACAGAGCTGGAGCTCTTATTACTCATTTACATTCCTCATCTCCATAAAGCGTGCAAAATGTAATTTTTAACAAATTAATGAACTCTGTACATCTAACTGCCAGTACTAATTCGTATGACAGATGTATTTACCTATCATCTGATACTTTTTAACCGAATTAATCACATCTATGGGAACTGCACTATTATTTCCTTTGTTAATACAGCCTACCATACCCACATCATCACACTTAGCACACTGCACTATAAGGCTCTATTGCCTTTGATAAAGCATTATGAGGGCAGAGGCGCAGTCTCACTTTATCTTCCAGGTGTTCTAGACCTTAGCACTGCAACTAACAAAGGAAATGATCAATTAACTTTATAATGGATTGAAAATTACAACTTACTGCTGAGCTTAGTTGGCCTTGATGTTGGCACTAGAGTATAGAAATAAATGTGCTATCTTATGAAAGTGTTACTGTTAAAAAATAATTGTGTTGATATTATATTACTATTATTATTTTTCAGACCAAGTCTCGCTCTGTCACTAGGCTAGAGTTCAGTGGCATGATCTTGGTTCACTGCAACCTCTGCCTCTCGGGTTCAAGTGATGTTCCTGCCTTAGCCTTCTGAGTAGCTGGGACTACAGGCACGTGCCACCACACCCAGCTAATTTTTGTATTTTTAGTAGAGACAGGGTTTCACCATGTTGGCCAGGATGGTCTCGATATTTTGACCTCGTGATCTGCCTGCCTCAGCCTCCCAAAATGCTGGGATTACAGGTGTAAGCCGCCATGCTCAGCTTGATATATTTTAATTGAAAGTCCAATTCCAATCCATCTTCCCCAACAAACACATGCACACTTTCATTTCAGGCAAAACTGTACTTAGTACACCCAATTCTCTTGAAGGAGAATTACTGCCTCATAAACGGAATGTAGTAATAGCTCCAAACTGGAAAGAATCCATGAGATCACTAACTGGTAAATGAACAGACGGCTATATCCATACAATGGCTTATTACGAAACAAACTGCAAATACATACAACAAGATAAATCTCAAAAGCATTACCCAAAGTGGAAGAACCTAGACATCAAATTTAAGTTACTGTATGATGCTATTTATATGAAATCCTAGAAAAGAGAAAGCTATAGTATTTGAAAGCACATCAGTGGAAGCCAGGGCCCAGGAGTGGGAGAAGAAGACGAACTGAAAAGGGCATAAGGAAATTTGAAGGATGATGGAAATACCCTTTATATATCATGATCATGGTGGTGGTTACACAACTGACTACAACTGAAAACTCACAGAGTTGTATGTTATGCTTAAAATTTAGTACTTACTAGATATAAATTATAACTCAATAAACCTGACAGGAACAAAAAAAATACAAGAAAAATGAAAGGCTTGGTTTCTTATCTTCAAAGCATAATGGAACTGTGCTGTCAAACATGGAGCCCCATGTGGCTACTGAGCATTTGAAGTGTGGCTACTCAGAAATGAGGTGTTTTAAGTACATAATACACATTGGATTTTGAAGATTTAATTTAAAAAAATTAAAGTATCTTATTAATAATTTTTTATATTGATCATATCATATCCTAACAGGATTTTGCACATGTTGGATTAAATAAAATATATTAAAATGAATTTTGCCTGCTTATTTTTAAGGAGGCTACTTGAATATGTAAAATTACCCATGTGGCTTCATTCTATTTCTATTTGATTATATGTCTTTTTTTCTATGTAATACTCTGCTTTAGATATTCATTTCATAATATTACTCTGCTTAAGAGAAAAATTCTTGAGTAGAAAAAAGATGTGAGAGTTGAGGTCTCTTGTGAAAGTTGAGGCCTGGGAAAGAATTGTGAAGGAGGGAAGCATACGTTTAGATTAGATTTGAGTGACCTTTGCCCACACACCAGCAGCACTGCCCACTGCAGCTGAGTGCAGCCCAAGGGAGATTCGGGAGGCTGCCAGTTTCCAACTGAGACCAAGTCTCCAGAGCCTTGAGAGAAGACAGCATTCTGACGGTGAGGAGTGCAGACCAGGAGAGCCTGCAGTCCCAGAGCCCAGTGGATCAAATTAGCCGTAGAAAGAGCCCGAATTCAAGACCAGGTGGGACCAATTAAATCAGAACCAGATGCCAGAAAAGAATGTCTGCTAACTAGCAACACTGCAACCACTTGGGGTTCTTTACAAAGAATCTCAGTCTTTCCTGGAATGATTCAGAATCTGCACTTTACTAAGTTCTCTAGGTGATTCTTATGCACACTAAGGCTTCAGAAGCACTGCCCTAGAGAAAGGAGCCTTTCCCAAAAGTGGATACAATTTAGGGCGTAAAACAGCTAGAAGAGGGAGGAGAACAGAGAATGGCTTTCTATTTAGATAAGAAGCATCTACTAGAGTGGAAGCTCACATCGATATCAAAATGGCTTTCAAAATAAAAATCAGTGACCGAGCAGGGGATACCCGGGCTGGTGTAGGCTGGAGGTTCAGAGTTCGGAATGACAGGGCAGGCCTGTCCACCAGCGGGGAGCTCTAGTGAAAGTGGAATAAAATAGGTGGCAATTGCATTTATAAGTGAGTTGGGCATGAGTTCTTGCACTTTAGGAATAACATTTAAAAAAATCTTTATCTAGGGTTATATTTAACCTATTATCTGGAATTGATTATCTAACATAGGAATCAATAAATATTTGAAGTGGAATATGGTTTCAAAAAACATTTAATTTCCACTTCAAAAGCATTTCCACTCCCTGCATTTCAAAAACCTATAATTTAAAAATTGTTTGGATTGGGCATTTTTTTAATGCTAGGCATGGAGTTTGCCAGTAATAATGACCATAATTTCAACATTGTCAGGCAGCCTTCTAGTTATTTAAATCTGTCTCACTGAATCCTCACCAAAACATTACTCCGTCCGCTTTATAGATGGAAAAAAACCAAAGCTCAAAGTCAGGTTAGCAGTCTTTGGGCACACAGCCAGTGTCTGTCAGAGTCAGGATTTGAACACATCAGTCTGGCTGTGGCATCTATGCTCCTAACCACACATTTCTGTCTCTGTTGAATGAGTAAATAAAACGTCTCTAACTTCAGTGGGCTCACTTGCAGTGAGGAAGAAAAATAAGTAAAAATAAAATTATCTATATAATGAGTTCCGAAAGGGAAAGGATCTATCTCTTTCACTGCTCTGTCACCTCTGCCAGAAGTGACAATAAGAGCCAGTCAACAGAATGGTAGACATCCCTCTCCGACTGGCACACCTGGGGAACGAGAAGTCGGACAAATTCCAGATGTAAGCAATATCAGGTGGTTAAAGTTCTTCAGAGCAATCCAAGGCGTCTTAAACTAATTTTGAGGAACAGAGTGCGCTCACTCGTCTTTTATCTAAACTCAACCACGCACGTCTCCGCTCCGGTGAGAGAAAGGCAGGGACTCCCTCCTCCGCCAGCCTTTGGCCTTTGAACAGACAGACCACAGGTCTAGAGACTGCGGAAGGCTCATCTCCCAACTCCCTCGGGGAGACTCCTCCCAGGGGCCGCCTGGGATGGAGGATAAATGGTGCTCACTTCCTGGAGTGGCCGGGCTGGAGATGGGGGAGGGGAGGGGAGGGGGGAAGGGATGCTGACTCTGAATCCACGCCTGACACACGGTTTGCCGCGACTCCCTAACGCGAAGTTTCCAGAGCTGCCTCCCTTACATGACTTTAGCTTCTAGAATTGAGGTTTAACTCTCACTACCCTTTGCAAGGCCTATTCCCAGCTGCAAGGGTGCCTCTTCTGTGCTCCCTTCCCAAACTTGAGTCAACTAAAAACTGCAGAAGTCTCCCTCACTCTTCTTCCACCCGTGAACCCCCAACCCGACCTACAGGGCGGGTCAAACTCTCCAGACAAGTAGGGACAGTGGTGGCTGGCCAGAAAATGAATTTGCTCACTAACCTGGAATCTGCGGCGTGGATCAGAGCCGAGAGGCAGCAGCCGCGTCCTCCACCCAACCCGAAAGACTCAGGGGGGAAGGGGCGGGACCAGGGGAGGAGGAGGGTCAAATTGTCCGCACCGCGGGACAGCCACCGGATTCCATAGGTGTGTGGTCACCCGTGCCCATCAGGTGGTAAGGGAGATCAAGATAGTTTTTGAAGGCGGCAGTGCAAAGCTGTTCGTCTTACCTGATGAACGGCAAATCCGGAGGCCTTTGAGAACCCCCGAAGGCCAGAGATGACCCTCGTAAACTGTCTGCAGTGTACTGTAGCTTTCCAATCCTAACAGAGTTTAATCACACTGATAATACACCTGTGCTCCATATATACATATTAATTTAAATATCTAAATTTTAAAAATAAAGTCATGCAAATGAGTAAAAGGTAACCCCCTTTGCATAGTGGCATGTTTTGCAAGGCGATCATTAAAATTTATCAGTTTAAAATTACATATATGTATGTATAAAGCTGTGTGTGTGTGTGTATTTGTAATTCTGACCTATATAACTAGAAGACAATAAATCTTTGTTTTTCTTTAGGTCTATGAATACACGAAAAGCTTATAGAGCCTCAGAACTCTAACTATAGGGTTTCAATAGCACAAAAACTCTGAGAAGAAAAGAATGCCAAAGTTCCTCCCTAAGGAGACTGGTTAGATGAGTATCACCTGGCTTAGAAGGTGGACTGGGGAGTGAGGTATAGAGAAAGAAGGGACTGGGGTGGCCAGATAAAAGTCAGGACAAAGGATTGAGCAGTAGGGAGAGAACTGAGTTAAGTAGAAAGAGGTTTCTCTGAACAGTCCCCAGGCAAATGGAAGGTCACTGGAATCTCATAATAAGAAGTGGAGATATATGTTACTATTTCAATGAGTACCTCAGGTCCACAGGCTTAAGAAGCCACATAAAGGGTATTTTAGAACACCCCTTTGTGGCTTTCTTCACAAGGGTTTTAGGTATGGCTGCCTCCATATTGCCCATGGATGACACTGCTGGTCAAAGCCTGCTTATGCTCTGAGATTCTCCTGGCCCCACCCAAACTGTCCAGTATGGGCACCAACCTGCCACTGGCCCAGCCCACATTTAAGTCCCTTGGAATACAAAATGGTAGGATTGACACCCAGAGGATTAGAAGTTTTGGAGAAGTGATGGAGAAGCCCAACCCAGAGTCCCTTCTCAGGCCATTTTCTAAGAGCTAATATAAATGGAAGTAACATGCAGTCTCCATAGTCTTCTCAGGATAGAACTTCATTTCCAGGGCCAGAAGACTCAGTTAAAAAGATGTTGGGTGGGCATGGTGGCTCGCTAATAATCCCAGCATTTTGGGAGGCTGAGATGGAAGAATAGCTTGAATCCAGGATTTTGAGGTCACGCTGGGCAACATAGAGTGAGCCTGTCTCAAAAAAATTAAAAAAAAATTAGTCAGGTATGTGCCCATAGTCCCAGCTACTTGGAAGGCTGACAGGTGGGAGGAACACTTGAGCCTGGAAGGTCGAGGCTGCAGTGAACCGTGATCCTGCTACTGCACTCCAGCCTCTGTGACAGAGCAGTAACCAGTCTCAAAACAAAAAACCAAAGAACAGAATAAAAGGCTGTTTCTTGGTGTGTGGAGTTTTTATTTTATTTTTTTTGTTGTTTCTTTGTTTGCTAACCAAGGCAGTTTTTATTTTCTCTCTAATTTCTCATCTTGAACAGGGAGACTGGGCATTCTGACGGTTGAGAAGAAATGAAGCTACTTGGCAATAATTCAAGGGGTCTCAAAAAGTTAGATATAAATTTACCATATGATCCATCAAATCCACTGGTAGGAAACTACTCAAGATAAATGAAATCATGTCCATGTGAAGATTTGTACACAAATGTTCATAGCAGTTTTACTCATATTAAAAAAATGGAATTAACCCGACTGTTCATTAAGTATTGAATGGAGTGTGGCGATTCCTCAAGGACCTAGAAATAGAAATTCCATTTGATCCAGCAATCCCATTATTAGGTATATATCCAAAGGATTATAAATCATTCTACTATAAGGACACATGCACATGAATGTTCATTGCAGCACAGTTTACAATAGCAAAGACCTGGAACCAACCCAAATGCCCATTGATGATAGACTGCAAAGGGAAAATGTGGCACATATACACCATGGAATATTATGCAGCCATCAAAAATGATGAGTTTGTGTCCTTTGTAGGGACATGGACGAAGCTGGAAACCATCATTCTCAGCAAACTGACACAAGACCAGAAAATCAAACACCACATGTTCTCACTCATAGGTGGTGTTGAACAATGAGAACACATGAACACAGGGAGGGGAGCATCTCACACTGGGGTCTGTTGGGGGGAAATGGGGAGGGACAGCAGGGGGTGGGGAGTTGGGGAGAGATAGCATGGGGAGAAATGCCAGATATAGGTGATGGGGAGAAAGGCAGCAAATCACACTGCCATGTGTGTACCTATGCAACAATCTTGCATGTTCTTCACATGTATCCCCAAACCTAAAATACAATAATAAAATAAAATAAAATAAGGTATTGAATGGATTGAAAAAGTGTTCCCAATACAGTGGAATACTATTCGTGTTAAAAGGAAACCAAGCATGTGGGATTCAGAGGTTGGTGGGGTGATGTGATGCATCAAGTAGGACAGGTTTGAAGGTAATGAAGGCACAGATTTGCTAACAGCCCCAAGTCCCTGAGTACTCAGCGTACTTGCAGTTCTAGGCTCAGAACCCACTGCTGCAGTTCTAGACTTGGGGTGGTATCAAGGGATCCAGCCTGTTACTATAACAATATATTAAATACTCAGTATATACCAGAAATATTGTTTAGTGCACAGGTTGAGGTGTCAAAATTTCCTAATAGCAGTAAGTGGACATTAACATTTGATAGGAAAGAGGTTTCAGGAAAGCAGACAGGACCATGACAAGGGTCACAGAACATTCTCACAGCCAAATAGGGATAAAAAGATATACATATAAACTCAGGATGTAGATTTTCTGTGAGTAAATCTCTAATACACTCTAATATATTTTCTTTCAGGGAATCTCTAATATGTTCACAGGAGGTAGACTTCCTGGAAAAAAGTCTTGTATATTTTATCAGTACAATTTGTTGGAAAGCAGTATTAGATAATTCCTGTGGTCAGAAGTGTTTCCCCTCCTCTCATGGAAACCCTCCCGAATTCATTACTACCATTTGGGAGCTGATGGGAACAAAGGAAAAGAAAAAAGTAGATACTGCAAGGCTGAGATTAAGACTCAGGGTAGTTTATGCTTGAGAACTCAGGATAGGCTTAACTGGATTTTCTGAAGGACAAATTGTTAACCTCTGATTAGAGGAGGAACTTCAGTAAAACCAAAGAAAAACAAATTTCGGTGAGAAAGATTTCTTGTTCCAGAGGCTTAGGGATGTAGTAGAAACAAGCTACCAACTTTGTTTTCAGATGATTCTGATCATCAAACATGGACCCAATTAATGTATGTCTTTTTCTCCTTCCTCCCTCTCTCTTTTTTCCATTCTTCTTTCCTTCTTGTTTTCTCTACTTTCCTCTCATTTTTCCTTCCTTCCCTCTTTCCCTTCTTCCTTCCTTCTTTCCTCTCTCTTCCTCCCTTTCTTTCTTTCCTTCTTTTTCTTTTCTTTCTTTCTCTTTCTTTCTTTCCTTCTTTTCTTTCTCTCTCTTTTTTTCTTCTTTCCTTTCTTCCTTCCTTCTTTCTTTTCTGAGATGGTCTCACTCTATTGACCTGGCTGGCATGTAGTGGCATGATCTCAGCTCACTTTAGCCACAAACTCCCAGGCACAAGCAATCCTTCCACTTCAGCCTCTCAAGTAGCTGAGACTAAAGGCACACGCCACCATGCCACGCTAATTTCTGTTTATTTTGTAATGATGAGATTTCACAGTGCTGCCCAGGCTGGTCCCAGATTCCTGGACTCAAGTGATCTGCCCACCTCAGTTTCACAAAGCACTGGGATTACAGTTGTGAGCCACTGCGCCTGGCCCCATCTTTCCTTGGATATTTTCTATTTTCTTCCTACCTTCCTTCTTTTTTAAAATTTATTTTGTTCTTTCTTTTCAGCAGACACATATTAAATTATATATGTTGTTGTTGCACAGTATTTAAGATGATAGACTCTGGAACCAGTTTTGCCAAGATTCAAATCCTAGCTCATTTACTTACCATCTGTATGATTTGTGGAAGTTACTTAACCTCTTTTGGTCCTCGGTTTCCTTATCTGTAAAATACTGCGTAGAGTTATTGTGAAGACTAAATATGTAAGTATATGTAGAGCACTTAGGACAGTCCCTGAGACACAATAGATCATCAGTTAGTAATAGGTAGCATTATTAACTATAATGAAGTAGCAAGCATTTGGCAGGGCTCTAGAGTAATACCAATGAATAAAACATGAATTTTTCTGTGCGTGTATTTACATTCTAGTCAATTTGAAGAAAATCAAACGAGTCACTTAAATATAGCTTTTTGGTTGTTTCTTATTATCTCATTTTCTTGAAATTCCCTTTCTAGATAATCCCCTCCACTTTCCTAGCTGATAAAGCCCTAACATTAACTATAGATCTGACCTCTTTTGGGCTCCAGAGTCCATGTGAGTAACTCACACATAAAACAAAAACAAGAGGTTGTAACCTCAGCAGACTAGCCTGGTTCAACTTTTATGTGTCAAAGTTGTGAGCTGTTTTTCAATTGCCATAGCCTCCTGAGCTATAACCTGAACATGCACCAATAAATCGGGCGTGCAACCACAGGTGTCACCCAAGTGCTCAGACTAAAAGGTAGGGACTGAATAAAGAAGGGACATCGGGCCAGGCGCGGTGGCTCCTGCCTGTAATCCCAGCACTTTGGGAGGCTGAGGCGGGTGAATCATGAGGTCAAGAGATCGAGATCATCCTGGTCAATATGGTGAAACCCTGTCTCTACTAAAAATACAAAAAATTAGCTGGGCATGGTGGCGCATGCCTGTAATTCCAGCTACTCAGGAGGCTGAAGGCAGGAGAATTGCCTGAACCCAGGAGGTG